GTGACGCTTTTGAGTTTGTTAAACCATGAATTCAAAGCAATTTTGTGTGTTGATTTAATATTGCTTTTTGATGGGTGAAAATACCATTACAGCCAAAGTATCGCTTGCTAAGTATTATGTGGACTCTGCCAAATCGAAGCAAACGGCGGGAAAGTGATTTTAATCGTGGCCATACAGGCACCGATGATACTGAACGCTCTGGGGGGGGGCAATTGTGGTGGTTAACCGGATAACATAAAAAAAGTATACCGAATCATTTTGGAAAACAGAAAAGTTAAATTGCCTGAGATAGTTGACAATTTAAAAATATCAATAAAATATGATAGACATATTGTTCTTGAATATTTGAATAGGAAAAAGCTTTATGCTGAATGGGTGCTGCGCGAGCTCACATTTGACCAAAAGCATATTGAGTTGTTGATGTGCAAGAGTATTTAAAGCTGTTTAATAAAAATAAAACTGAGTTTTTGTCTCTATTAGCAGAGATGTGACCTGGCTTCATCATTACACTCCGGAGTCGAATAGACAATTAGTCGCGTAGACTAAGCACGATGAGGAGAAAAAATACAAACCATCAGCTGGCAAGGTTATGGCGTATGAATGATCTTCATCAACTATCTTAAAAAAGGCCAGACCATTAACAGTGACTATTGTATTACGTTATTGAAGTATTGGATCGAAAAAACGGCCTCATTTAAAAAAGAAAAGTGCTGCTGCATATAGACAATGCACCAATTCACGAAAAAACATAAGTTGGAGTACAAATTGCTTCTCCTTTCACTATTCTATAGATCTGTTTCCCAGCAACCATATCCTGTTTGGTGTAAACAAATTTTTGCCGAATGAAGAGATGATCGCCGAATTTTGTGGCAAAGTATAAATTGTACTACAAAAATGTTTCAAAAAGTTTGAACTTGGCTATAATCGGTATATCGTTTTCGAAGAAAACTATATTGAATAAAAAAAAATTGCCACAAAAGGTGTTTTTCTTAGTTAGCCTTGAGACTTTTCAGTCAAAGTTAATCCCTTTCACGATGTCTAAATGCAAAAAATAGGTGATTTTTTTACTTACAAACCGTGGTGCATCAGTAATTATTTTCAATAATTTAGATAGTATGCTTTGGGTAAAGCCGACATTTGATTTACTGCTACTTAATATTGTCATTTTATATTAGTAATTAAATAACAATAGACAATTTAGTGCTTAAGTCTATCTAATCAAGCGTAGGCTCAGATATAATTCTCTTTAATATAACAATAATAATTACCATGTTTAGTGGTGCCGCTTTCCTGTCATATGCTAATCCTAGTTTGGCACAGAAGTCGATTATATCGGCAGTGCAGTTATAATCGCGACCCAATTCGGCCGCCCTGTAATCCCATGGGAATGCGTGGTGGTAGTTGTGCCAACCTTCTCCGTTGGAGATTGCTGAGACAAATTTATTTTCTACTGGTTGTAATTTCCTATTGGAAGGTTAATGGAGAAATGTCAATCAGTAATGTATAAATAATGAGAAATAACCAGATTTATAAGTGAAGTTAATATAAAATAATATTTAGAAAAAATTAAACAATAAAAGTCGTTAAAGATCATTACCTTGTAACTACTTTAGATGTTTTCAATCAGATACTTCTATTAATTAAAAGTTTCATTGAAATTAGTAAGTGTTGATGTAAATATGTGCACTACCAAAAAAAATTGGGTAATTATTATATTGTTCATAGATTCCTTGAAATTTTCTACTACTTTGAAAATTGTCCTTCGACCATGTTGATGGTAATTAGTGACACTTTTAAACCTAAATACTAAAATTGATCTTTGTAGGTTAATTTAGTCAAAATTGCTTCTATGTTGTTTTAAATTTAATCCTAAACCTATTATATAGACGACTCACGCTGGATGACGTATGTCTAAGAGTGTCGCCTGTAGACGGCATCTAGTGTTTTTACTTTTGCTTCAATATTTATCAATCTGAGTTCAATCATTGTGAATTTTAAGGTGGTATTCTAGTGTCGAAATTCAAAAAAATCGATTTTTTTTTTATTTCATATTTTTAAAGTTTAACTATCTAAGAATATGGGTACTAGATGGTTTTTGAAAATTTGAATTATTTTTGGAGATATAGGCATTTTACTGCCTACTGACTTGGTCTCCATACTGGTTTGGCTTCACGCAAAACTTTAAATGCGTTTTTCTCAGAACTTACTTTTTCAGTACTCTTGTCACGATTTCTGGAGTTTTTCTCGACCAATTTATTTGAAATTTTTAGAGAGTCTTGTTTATGGATCTATCTATAGTCTGAAATAGAATCATCCCGATTTTCCTATTTTTACTATATTTAAAAAATTCGAGAAAAAAACAGTAAAAAACTCAAAAAACAGTAAAAAAAAACCTTTTTTTCAAACAGTCGCCAATTTGTGAAAGAAAAAATTTTTACTCATCGCTAGTTCAGCCGATTGCGACATCATTGTAGATTAATAATCTTTTTATTTTTTGCATTTCCGATGGCTAGATGGGCTGAAATCATGCCAAGACTGAGGTGCCAATTTTTTGAGACCACCCACTTCATCAGCTGCCAGTTGTTACAATTTTCAACTTTTTTATTTTTTAATTTTTATTTTGTATTTTAATAAAATTAATAAACAAGTGGTAAAAAAATGGATAGTAAAAACATTCATTGCTTTCTTTTACGACACTTTAAAAATGACCTAAAATTCATCGCTCTACACTAGAGTACCCCCTTAATTTGATATTGTAGTTTTTTTAAAATAAATTTTTAGAAGTAGTAATTTTGAATTTTTAAAAATATTTTCATTGATAATGATTGGAAAATTTAAAAAAATGTTGTGTAGTAACTACTTGAGCGGATGCTGGTGAGGTTTAATCAACAGACGTATGATGACTTTGCTTTTGTATACATGTCACATGCAATATTATCGACTTTTTCGTCAGAAACATCTGGACTCGGAAGAGTTCCTTCATTTGTAATATAGAATGCAAGAATTTAAAAAATACTATTTGTCATTACTTACATATCATAGGGTCTCGTTCCGTAAAGATGTGCTGCGCTGTTTACCAGCCAAGTTGCATTTAGTAATACTACTGAACGCACCACATAAACGATTAGGAAAGATGCCCAAGGATCTTCACCCCAAAAGTAAATTGGAACGATAGTTGGCAGGAAAATTGCGAATATTATATAAAGAGTTTTGTAATATCTGAAAAGACAACATTCATTACAACGTTTTAAGATACATTTTTATTAATAAATAGTATGAGCATGGAGAAATCGACAATGATAATTACACTCACAACATTAGGGGGCGTCCATTAATTACGTGAGGTTTACATGGGGAGGGGGGTTTGACAATAAATCACAAAATATCAATTGGGGGGAGGCGTATAAGAAGATATCATGTGTATTAATTTTTTACCCGATTTTTTTATAAATCCAAACATTTTCAAAAATAATCAAATTTTCAAAAACTATATAAAAAAATAATTTTTTTTTGTAACCGAAAATACACGTGATGTTTGGCTAGCAGGGGGGGAGTAATTTTTGAATATGACCACGAATCACCAAGGGCGAGAGGAGTCCAAAAATCTGGACGCCCCCTTACAAGTATAAACATACAACATTGTATGAATAGAACAATTCTTTTATTTAATTTAAAATAGGATCGATTCATGAACTTCATTCAAAATAAAATTGATGATCAAAAAAATATTCAATGAACAATTAGATTGATCTAAAATCGATTTCGATTTCGATTGATTGATTAGAATTGATCTAAAATCCAACTTGCAGTCAGAAGGCACATTTATAATTAACCCTCATTTCATATGCATCGAATATTCAAAACATGGATTATTTTGAAACAATGGACTAATTAAAAACTCTTATTAAATAAAGATTCTCTTAGTCCGTTGCAATTTGAAATTTTGTTAATAGAAGTAAATTCTGAGAACGTGAACTTTTTGTTTTTAAAAACAGACATTTATTGTAAGGTTTTACTATAGGTAGAGCAGGGTTTAAAGGCATGCGGGTACAAAGGTTTAATATCATTATTTCAAAAAATTAAAACATAATTTTTTTATGATACTACTTTAAAGTAAAACCCAAAAGATGTGTAATCAGTCATCATTTAAATTCTTACGACGTTGCTATCAGGAGGTACACGAGAATGTTCTAATATCCATACCAATTTTTTTTTCGTTGGTAGTTCTTTCGAATTTGAGCTCTTGTATTTAGTTTATGATACTTGAATAAAATTTTTAGGTATACGTTATTTAAATGTTTCGTAAGATGTAGTTATTTTTACGTTAGACTCAACAGTTTTTTTTTATATAACCTTAATAAAAGCTTGCATATGGGTGGGGTAAAAAGCACTAACTAAACCATCACATTGGCAAAAGTGTGGATAATACGAAACAATGAATAAAAATTAAGTTAAAAAAACAATTTTCGAAAAAAACATTAGTAGTTATTTGACCTCTGCTAATGAATAGTTTCTTAGATCAAGGTTATATACAATGAATTCAGTGCATGAAATATTCTCATATTATTTGTATTATTTTGTAAATTCCTTATAACATCAAAAAAGACGCTTGATCTCTTTGCCCCCTGGTCGTCCTTTCTTACACTCATGGGGCAAAATAGACAATTGACAAATTTTAGAAAAATAATAACAAAGCACATTTCTATAATTATGAATTTACTAAGAGCTTCACTGAACGTAGTACGATTATTGTTTAGTTTTGTACATGTTCTGTGTTGCCATTTAGTCTATTTAGTTAGGACATTGTAATTACTGATACGTATTGGACTTTCTGCCTTACCCTACCCTATTTGAAATAACATGAGTCATGAATTCAAATAAAAATATAATGTCTTGAAAATCTTATGCTATTATTAAAATGGTACTTCTCACTGCATAAAATACATTTTCTCACCTTTTTTTGGAACATAACCCATTTATCGGATTCCAGATCGGACATGTCGATATTTTTACCATATTGGAATACCAGAGGATGTTTTCTAGTCATAAGCCATCCAATGTGTGAGAAGAAGAAGCCCCGTTTGGCATTGTGTGGATCTGCGTCAGTGTCGGAGTACTTGTGATGTTGACGGTGGTCTCTGACCCAAACCCATAAACAGTTCTAGGTAAAAAAAATTAAGTTTGAATTAAATTTGTTTTATCATGTAAATTATATAGTAAACTAGTGGTGCCATTTGGAACCGTAATTCAAGACGTTTAAATGGATAAATTTTTTTAACAATTCTGTTCGCGCTGCTATTTTCAAGACAAACCATAGAAGCGCGTAAAAGCCGCGTCGCACTCTTACTGTTAACATTGGTATGGAACCCATACCATTTTTTTTGCATAGTTTTATTGTCAATCAAAATAATATACATTTTTTAAGACAATATGATGTTGGTGTTAATGCATTTAAAAGATTATCTCCTATGAGATATCTCTCTTTTTTTTATTTTTGACATTTTATTTGAGATCGTATGGCCATTTTTTTTTCAATCTTCGTGTGGGATATTCCTCGCTCAATTTTTTTAAATATTTGTTAGGGTGACCTGGTAGTTTTTCGTGGTATTTTTTGCTCCGTTCTTTTATCATCTCATTAATAGTTTTTATTTTTAGGTCTTTATGTAGGGTGTCATTTGTAACATACCAGGGTGCGTTCACAATGCATCTTAAAATTTTTGATCGCGCTACTTGTATTTTTTTTATATTTGAATTGCTTGCGCACGCTCATAGCTCAATGCCGTATGTCCAGATTGGGATAATTATTGTTTTATATAAAAGGAGTTTGTTTTCATAGCACATATTTGAACTTCTGCCAATTAACCAATACAACTCTTTGAACTTCTTCTCCATCTGTTTTCTTTCCATTTTGACGTGCGTTGACCAACTCAACTTTCTATCAAGATGAATCCCAAGGTATTTTACACTCTCATATTTCGGTATTTCTATGTTGTTTATTTTTACGCTTGGGCAGTCCAGGGTTCTTGTGGTGAAGGTTATATGGCTAGATTTTGTTTCATTTATTTTAATCTTTCACTTATTAAGCCACTTTTCAAATTCGGAGACATATTGTTGAACTTTTGACATTGCGACGGATGCATTTGTATGAGTTCGCATGACAACTGTATCATCGGCAAAAGTTCCAATTATGACATTGCTATCAGTTGGAATGTCGTGCGTATATAGAACCCATAAGAATGTAAACGAAATTTGTATTTATTATTAAAATTTATAAAATATCTGATAATTTGATGTGCATATGCCTAATCATCATTTTTGACAGCCAAATGGATTTTTTATTACTTTTTTTATTGGATCTCCGAAACCAATAGACCTACCTTTTCAAACATTCAACTAATTCTTTACTTCGTCAATACAAATAAAAAGTGTTTTAAATCATTCAATTCGAACCCTCCGTTCTCCCAAAATTGTCATCCTTGGCACTTTTTGCCCCGTATCTTCGAAACGGCTGGACCTGCTTTTGCTAAAAACTAATTAGCACGTCTCCCCATTAATAGCAATCGAATTTTTTTTTGAATCGTTCAAATCGATTGATTCGTGCTCTCGATGTTGTGGGAGAAAAATTCATACATACTACATACACACACACATACATAATTTTTATTTAAGGTTTGCCAAAATGTTCAGAAGGTCTTGAAACATGATACATGAAAAATTTTATTTTCGATTTTTTGGTGATTACTATAATTTATTTTGCCTTAAGGCAAGTTGCATGAAGTTTTCAATACGTGTCGTGTAAATAATCGGTAAGGACTGAGATTACGCTATGCGCTTCACTAAAAACTACTTAATGCGATATTCAATTAATATTCTGATTCTAATATCTGAAATTGTATAAATTTAATCAATTTATTTAACACAGTTTATTAATTTCCCGTTAGGTAAGTTATAGTAATCGCAAGAAAATCGAAAATGAAAATTTATGCATGTCTCTACGTTTTAAGACCGCGTAAACATTTTGGCATACCTTAGAAAAAAAATTGATGTGGTTATATGTATGTATGGGATACAATTTTTTGTTTTTTTTTTCGATTTGAATAACTCAATTCAATTCCTATTGATAGAAAGATGTGCTTAGTTTTGGCAAATGCAAGTCCAGCCGTTTCGAAGATATGGGGCAAAAAGTTAAAGAAATAGCAATTCATTTATTAAGAACTTGTATTGGCATAAGGAAAAATTGATAACAATTTTGGAGAGGCAGGTCCAGCAGTTCCGGAAATACATAAAAAAAAATTAAAAAAATATTTGGCTGGTATTAGACATACGCACATTTATAGATATTTTATATTGATTTCAGTAGTATTTCAGGTTTGCATTTGTTTCTAAAACAACTACGCAGTGTAATCGCTTTGAAAAAATTTAAATTTTCAAAAAAATACAAAATTTTCAAAAAAGTTTAAAGAAATCAACTTTTTTTTTAAATAGTCAAAAAAAAAATTAAAAATACAATTAAAAAAATAAACTAGTGAGGTGTATGGCATCGTGCCTTAAGGCAAATTGCTGGAACTTTCCGTATCGTAACGAAATGTTCGAGGAATACTGGATGTTTTCAAATAGATTATTATAAATATTGTAACATTGTCTAATATTTATAAGAATTATGTAAACTGAATTGCAATTTAAAATTATTTGTTTAAATTATATTAGAACTTTAGTCAGAATAAAAATCAAATCTGAATTACTTTCGATATACAAAAAAAAAAAGAAAAAAGAAAAAAAAATGTACTTTTTTCCAAAATCAATTATTTTGTTAAGACAAGCAGAAAGTTCTTTGAATCATTTAAATCGGACGCTTAGTTTTCTCAAAAACTGCCATTTTTTACATATTTAGCTCCGTATCTTCGAAATGGCTGGGCCTGCCTTTGCCAAAAACTAATAAACACTTCTCCCAATCATTACTAATTGAATGTTTTTTTTTTAAATCATTCAAATCGGATACTCCGTTCTCTCAAAAAGTCGATTTGTATTTTCTGCACTCTTTGCTCCGTATCTCCGAAACGGTTGGACCTGCCTTCGCCAAAAACTAATCAGCTCTTTTCCCTATCAATAGGAATTGAATGTTTTTTGAACCATTCAAATCGGTTGATCCGTGCGCCCGAAAACGTGACTGAAAATTTGTATCCATACATACATACACACACACACATCTATTTTTTCTGAGGTATGCCAAAATGTTCAGAAACCTTCAAAACGTCGAGAAATGTAAAAAATTTGAATTTCGATTTTCGGCCCATTACAATAACTTACCCTAAGGAAAGTTAATTACAATACAGTAAAAATAAATAAATGCAGTTCTGATTTGTATTTTAAAAATTGTAATTTAATTGAATTTTTTGCAAATTCGATAACAAACATTATAAAAAAATACATTATGTTTATTTTTTTCAAATTATTTATTAGAACAGCAATCAAATCCAAGTGCTTTATAAGTTGTTATGATGAACTTTACTATATATTCGAAGGTAAACTTTTAACTATCTTACTATATTCGAAGATAAACCAATGGTTGTTCTTTCTATCTTGATATTTGTTTTTAATTAGAAGGCTGAATGGAAATGTGGTCGCAAGACGAAAGCTCTTACCACTATACCACGAACGCCCCCGTATATTTAAATATCTTAATAGCGATGTAGTTCCAACGGTGCTTTTAAAAAGTATCACGTCTTGATCTATAAAGTTTTATTAAAAATTATTACGCTCATATTTTGTATTCAAGTCAATTGCTAATAAAATGCGGATAGTATGCACAATTAAAGTATAAAAAGATTCTGTAAATATTGTATTCATATTCTGAATTTTATTATAAAAATAGTTTCTGCTACTAGTTCAATTTGTCATTTGTTGAAAAAAGTTTTATTTTTAGTGACAGTGGTATTGGGTATTGGGAAGTGGTATTGGGAAAAATTTATGTAAATTTAGTGTTAACAATGGTATTGTTGAATTGAAATGTAATGAATAAATTTCAAAATAAATTTTTATTGTTTTTTATACCGTGAATTCTCGTGGGTTAGGTAAAATAATATATTTACATAATGATAATGTTTCAACTTTTGTCAAAAGTCTAAGAGTTGAATAATCAATGACCTAGATGGGTTTTGCGTTTTAATTTGAAATTATAATTTTGGTTGGATTTTTAATGAGGTTTCCATTTACGATATTTTAAAGAAACTTTGAGAAAAAATAGTTATGCACAAAGTTTATTTGTTCGAAATATTTACCGAGAAGGAGACTGGGGACGAATGATTATGGTTAGATTGTGATTAAATAAATAAACAACATTCAAATTCTTTTGGAATACTTATTTTTAGGATTTGAGAGTAACCTTAATAGTACAACTAACTATTTGTTACGAAAATAGTAGAAATTACGAAAAATGTAGATAGGTCTGAAGGTTTTAAAATATTATGCAATATGTTAACATTTAATTAACTATCTGTTTTATGTTCTTCCTGAATTACAAAAACAATTTGTTAAAATTGTTGCTAAGCAAAATTAAGAAATAAAACACAAATGCTGCCCTAATTTGCCAAATTTTTACATATTATTCTAACTATGAATATTTTTAACATAATTTTTATTTTTACTAACTATACTACCCTTCGTTCCATCTTTTTCCGACAATAAAAAAACATTTTCTATTTTCTAAATCTGTTGAACTTTATACTTTGAAATTTTCAGAATTCATATTCAAATTTATTATATTTTATTTAAATTATTTTGTTTTTAAACACCGAGATAATTTAAATCAATAATACGTTTTTTTTTGTCAAAGATTAATATCAAAATTTTGACGTGTTTTTATTGAAAAATATCGGAATATTATATACGATTTATTTTATTGCTAAGAAAATTAAACAACTCTTCTTTATATTAGTAACAACAATTTGCTGTACAACAAATCGTAAATTGAAAATAAATAAAATCGTGACAAGAAGAGTGTGATATCATACAAGTATGCATTAAAAAACTTTCATGATATTTAATAAATTTATCCCAAAGGTGAGGTTCAATTTTCTGTTACTTGAATGGGCCAAAGAATAAATTTATAAATAAATGAAAATAAATGTTTTTTTAAATGTTTCTAGAAATACATTTATCTATTTATTTGGATATTTATTTCGAACATAACACACAAACACTTGTTTATTTATGATTTGATCTAAAAGCCATTTTCCTCAAGAAATTGTCTGATTTTTTATTGATAAATATTTTTTACGTTTTGAAGATAAGGAATGTCTCTTATAAGAATTTTGAAACTAAAATTAGTTTAAATTAAGCAATCATATTGTAAGTACATAAGAACACTTTCGAAGCGTAGAAAATAATTATAACTGAAAAAAATCATTTATATTTTTTGTTAGGAAATCGGCTTGCAGTTCACAAAAGTAAAAACCTAATTTATATATATATATATATATATATATATATTTAACTTCCGGTATGTATGTGTGGGTGTGTGTGCATGCGGATACAAATTTTCGTCGACGATTTCGGGAACACCGATCAACCGATTTCAATTATTCAAAAATCATTCGATTGCTATTTGGTTGATAAGGAGACTGATTAGTTTTTGGCATAAGCAAAAAGTGTCACAAAGTAACTCAGTAACTCAGTTTTTAAGAGAACGGAGCATCCGATTTTAATAATTTAAATATTTTACTTGTATTGATAAGATGAAGAACTGATTAAATTTTCATGAAGGAAGCTTTAGCGATTTCGAAGATCTAGTGAAAAAAGTAAAAAAAAATCCATTTGGCAGTCAAAAATGATCATTAGACATATGCACATTAAATTACCAGATATTTTATAGAGATTTTAACAATAAGTAAAAATTTTGTTTACATTCCTATGGGTTCCGTACCAATGTTAATCAGTTAAACGGCAACGCGGCGCTTACGCGCTTCGATATTTTCTTTCTATGCATTTAAAGCAGTACGATTGCTTTGAAAAAAAAGTTAAGAATTTCCAAAATATTTCAGAATAAAGAAAACATTTTTTTTTCAAAAAATCTTTTTTATCTGAAAAATAAATTTTTGTCAAAAATTTATAGCTTCTCAAAAATTTAATTTTTTCAAAGTAAAATTTTCTCAAAAATGTTAATGCTTTTTAAAAAAAATAATTTTTGGTACGGGAAGTTCCAGCAATTTGCCTTAAGGCACGATGCCATGCGCCCCACTAGTTATATATATATATATATATATATATATATATATATATATATTACTCATTTACAATAATATATTTAACTGAACTTACTTGACCAGCAACCGTCTGAAGAATTAGCAGTACCAGTTTTAGAGGAAGTTTTGCTTTGAAGGATCTGTGAGTCCACAACCTGTGTGCTCCAATTGTTACTCCTTCACCAGAAAACCAACCAACAAACAACACTAGAAGATAAAAATTGGTAATTGACTACCAGATGGTGCATTCATTTTACTAATTTCAATATAATGGAAACAGAAGTTTTGAGGCCAGTCCGAGGAATTGAAGGTTGTCTTCAAGGTATGAATGTAAATTTATTTGGACATGTTTTTTCTACGTTTTCAACAAATGATTCAAATATTTTGGAAAAGATGGTCCACTCGTTTCAGTTATGACGGAAAAACTACTAGTTTGGGGATAAAAGCAAATACTTTTGACATATGTTATATGTTAAATACCAAAGGTTGGAACATTTAAACACATGCATTAAACACGTTTTAAAATCTGTTTCTTGTTTTAAAACAAAAAAATTGTTAGTAAAAATTTACTTCAATAGTCAAGTTCCAACTAAAGTTCTTTTATCTACCACGTTTTTAAGAGAACAGTTAAATCAATCTTGATGTTCAAACAAATTTTGTTTTTAATCCGCAAATTTCATCGGTTTTTGGTAAAGGCAGGTTGATTTGCTTTGGAGTCACGAAGGATAAAGTCCATTTACTTTAAGCAAAAAGGACTTAAATATTAGAGTATTAAACCGCATTATTTCCGTACTTGGTCATAATCTTTAGATAATATCGCATCATTTTTACAGGTTTGAAAATTTTGTAACAAATCTCTCTCTCTCTATCTATCTCTCTCTCTCTCTCTCTCTCTATATATATATATATATATATATATATATATATATATATAAACTGAAAAATTATTTGTGCTTTTTTCAAAGGGCCTTCAACTTTTTGTAATTCTGATACCAAATTATTTCTTAACCAAACCTTGGCTTTCGATGAAATGTGCGGCATAGATTTATTTTTAAATGAGCCTACCGTATTGTACTATGAAATATTTATAGCAATACATATAGTCTCTATTATAATCATATTTATTTCTTTATAATAATCATATTTTCCTAACAATATCATGATTAACGACAGTCGAGTTAGTGGCGTCAGATGGCATCGAAAGCAATTTTAAATTTAAATGCTACGTTGTTTTGTTATAATAATGGGCAGTACTGCCCTAAGGCAGGTCCGTGAGCTGAGTTATATTCCAACTCGACTCAGAGAAGTAGTGTGAGAGTATTTCCCATTTCCATTTCACACCGGAGTGCCCGAGATGAGCTTATTTTCAATTGGAAACATATTTTGATCTATATTTTTAATAAGAAATGGACATTGTGCTGCCCGATGTCAGATTGCCAGAGCGGGAAATCGAATGCGCGACCCCATCTACACCGGTCCGCACGTTAACGATCTCGGCCACGACAACCTTATTTTTTGCTATATAATGACTTAAATAAATAAGTTTATGAAATAAACAAAAATATGTATATTGATTACAATTACGGTTTTGCATGGCAATAGACAATATTTTACCCTAATTGGGAATAATAAATCTCCCTGAATAGAGTTTGACTTCGGTTAGAGTTCCCTTTTTTCATAATTAACTGTGAATTTCTTTTTTTTTATCTGTTGTGATAGTACCAAGAGAAAAATTTTTACTTAAATGTCGTCGCTTAATAGCACATTTTCATATCAATTTCACAATTTTTGTATTGCAATTTATATAATCTTTATATGTGTGTGTATATATATCACATTTTCAAATGACATATCTAATAATAATAATAATAATAAATATCTAATAATTTAAATGCATTTTATCCAAACTCTGCTAAAAGAATCGAAAGAAACGTCGGGCTCCAGTTGTAATTTATATAATTTTTCGGTATAATTAGAGTGCATATAATTAGAGTGCATTTCGTTAAAATTTTGTAGAGCTTGATTGATAAAATTGAAGCAGTGGACAGTCAAAGAGAGAATAATTAATTATGGTAAAAATTATTTTTTTCTGTTTTACTTTTAATCACAATCTGTCATACTAGGTCATTTAGTAATTGTTTTGTGATTGAATGGCAACGCAGTAGTTGTCCAATCCATTTCTGGCTATTTAACTATACTCGAATTGTTTGTTGACATTTTTATGACTGTATGTGCAACTATAACCGATTTTGACTTCAGATCATATTAAGATCTATGAGTAGAAGGATATATATCAAGTGAAAAATTTGACATTCAAGCTGCCTGATGAAAAAATTACATCATTGATATTTCCAACGTTATACTCACTCCATGCAATAGTTGAGAAGTATGCTGCTCCAGTGAGACCTTGGTAGATTCCATAAACAGCAAGTAAATGTAAATACAGGAATCCAATGGTGTTAAACCACACGATTTTATGTTTGTAATTATAATCAGTTCCTATTTGCGATGGAAGCAAGATTTTTTTACCTTCCTGCTCTTGATTGTTGTTGTTCGTGTTGATTGTTTTCGTTTCAGCCATCTATAAAAAATAATTAATAATATTTTTTTTTTTAATTGTTTTATGAGTTGACAACAGACGTTATAATAAAAAACGGCACTATGATAATGATTGTGTCAATTTTCTGATCATTGCGATGTGATGGCGATTCCAAATATATTGGCATTGATGATTTTGATGTCAAAGATCATGGTGATGATGTCGAAAATAATGGTAGCGACGTCAAAAACGATAATTGTTGGTGGTATCACAGATGATGATTATGGAGATGTAGAAGATGGTGATGATGGCGTTGATGGCGATGATGGCGATTTCAAATGTATTGGTGGTGGCATGATGATTTTGATGGCAATGACCATGATGGCGTTGTCAAAGGTAACAATGATAGCGACGTCAAAAACGATAACGGTTGGCGGTATCGCAGATGATGATTATGGAGATGTAGAAGATGGTGATGGTGGCGATTTCAAATATATTGTTGGTGGCATGATGATTTTGATGGCACTGATCGTGATGACGTTGTCAAAGATAACAATGATAGCACCGTCAAAGATAATGGTTACGATGTCAATGATCATAATGTCAATATAAAAGATGATATCAGCTGTGACTAAGGTGATGGCAAAGATGATGAAGATGAATTTAAACTTGATTATGACCGTATTATCAACCCTCTACGGGCTTTCGATATTTTACCAAATAAAATGTTTTTTGTTAGATGACTCATAGATCTTATTCTATTACGTTGTCAAGACCTTTGCTAGGCTTTTTAACCTGAAATACACAGAAGTGCGATCTTTTTTTCGTTTCTTATTAGCTTTTATTTTATAGACTTATAATTAACTTTCCGTAGGGTAAGTTAAAGTGATTGCAAAAGGCTTCTGAAAATTTTGGCATACCTTAGAAAAAATTGATGTGTTTGGATACAAATTATTGTCTAGAATTTTGGAAACACGGTTTAACCGATTTGAATGATTCGATTCGTATTCAAATCAAATCATCAGATATTTTATAGAGATTTTAATAATAAGTATAAATTTTGTTTACATTTCCATGGGTTCCGCAATATTGTTAGTCCGTAAGACTGCGACGCGGCGCTTACGCGCTTTTGTCTCTATGCAGCTAAAGCAACACGATTGCTTTAAAAAAAGTTCAAAATTTCCAAAATACTTCAAAATATAAAAAAAAACATTTTTTTCGAAAAAGAAATTTTTTTCAAAATTTCAAAATTCTCAAAAATGAAATTTTTTCATAGTTTTAAAAAAACTTTTTTTGAAAAATCTTTTTTAAAAAAAATAATTTTTGGTACGGTAAGTTCCAGCAATTTGCCCTAAGGCACGATGCCATACACCACTAGTTAGTGATTTTTATTTCCCTATTTTTTATGTAAAACAAAAATTAGGTTCATAGAGAGTTAAAGAAGGTCATATTGGTGATCTTAAAGATGATAATGACAATTATATCAAATATGACGTGGTGATATCAGGATGTCACGGATGTTGTTGGTGGTGTATTTTTAATTTTGAAATCGAGTATAATTAATTATTTTTAAAGCGCATTAGACCACAGCGAAATAATTCTTTATATAAAAGCTCATTTTGTTCCTCAAAGATATTGGGCTTTTAGCCAATCAAGTTCTATCACAGAGAATCGTAATTTTTGGTTATAATCGATATTTTATCATTAATTAATTATTGAATTCATATTATGTTCTCAAGCAAGACTTGAAATATAAAAAATCTAATCTACTAATATTATACACTAAAAAATTTTTTGATGTTTTTACCACTTGTTAAAAACTAAATCTGAGCCGGAAAAACGAATACTATAAAATGCTTAAGATATAATTACTTAATTTAAAATATCAATTACGATTCTTAATGACTATTCGATACATGTCTTTTCGTCCGAGCTATTGGAATATGATTACTAAATCTGAATCACAACTGTGGAAACTTTTGTTATACTACGGGATAATATTTATTCACTTTTTTACTTCTAAATGATTACAGTAAATATTAAATATTTCTTTTCTACTGCAATTTTTATCAGGTTTTAATAACATTCTAATCCGATGTTACAGTATAGAGTATATTAAACTCGTATTTTTAAAAATTTATTGATTTCGAGAGCGTTAATTATAACATTAAGTTCTTATTTGAGCAAACTGTTCATATTATTTACTATCAAACATTAACTGAAAAAAGTATTCATTATTAAACTTTGTCTTTGTTACTAATATTGCATTTTTATTATTTATTAAGTTTTTTAAATAGCAATTATACCAACAGTTAAATTTGAGTTCAACTTTTAAGCCCAATTTGTAAACTTGAAGAATGCCCTACACTAAAACTTCCTGGTTTCTTCAATATTTTAGATGGTCTGTGTATTAAACTTTTATTAAAATTATTTTTATGTATTAAATAATTATAAAATTTAAAAAATTACAAATTATTTTTAATTTGTTTTAAATTATTTTTTACTGTAACGATGAACATATAAGTTGTGATTTTTCAATCATCTTTTAATTAGTTATGAAAAAATTTAGTTATGGTGATCAGGCATGAGACTTGTTCTCATTTTATTTGATGTAACATCAATGTATTAAAAGTCGTCGCAATAATATTACTATAATAATGGTTTTAAATAAATCAATTATGAAATAAATAAATGCATTGCACCAAAAAATGTTACATACTAGTAAATAAAATCATTTGGTTCAAAAGGTTCTCAGATTTCAAATTTTATGCAATAATGGTATA